AACTTCAATCGTCACATATTTTCATTCAGGTGCATCGTTACATCCCTATAATTTATTAATCCAGGATTTCCTACCTGACATATTCATGTATGTTCCTCTTGAGCGGATTCGAGCCATGAGGCAGAGGAGTGTAATGAGCCGTCCTGATGTTGAGCTTATCGAAATTCTGTAGATAAGCAGGTTTATAGGTCACAACAAGAACACAAAGCAGAAGCGACTATATCAAAACCCAAGTGACACGCGTGATCAGACACGTCTATTCGTCTTTGTCAGAACCGGTCAGACCCCTCACACCAGCACATCAGATCCCACGCCAGTGACCCAACAGAACATTGGACCAGCGGAGCAGAACCAGACAGCTGTGACCCTGCGACCCAGAACGGACCGCACGGCTGCTGAGGGGCAGAACCAGCAGCGCTCGGCGAATGGATAAACACGTTCATCACGCCACGCGTGTGCTTGACCAAAGGATCTGTGGGTAAACAGACACCAACCTTCAGCAGTAACGGCCACTGAGACGTGTCCAATCTTGCGACCTTAGATTCAGGTTTGATGAGGAAGTCTCCACTTTCTTGAATGTCCTGATGGCAACAATTCAAAAACTGATCAGAAAACTCGTTTTAAAATTGACCAACATCTAGGTTGAAATCAGGTAGTGTTGTCACAATACCAAAATTTGGTACTACCAATTAAAAAAAAAAAAAACAGTAAAAGTCATCCATTCTTGACACTACAACAAAAAGCTTTTTAATAATGTATTTTAAGACAATTCTTCAGAACATGCATCTAAGATTGGTTAATTCAGTGGTCAAATACAGGGTTTCTGCAGGATTTATGAGGACTAAGATCTTTTTAAGACCAAGTAAAGAAAATTTAAGGAATAAATTGAATGGAAGAGCATGTCAATGTTCTCTTACAGTAACAGAGCACACAACGACTTGTGACGGTGAGGACATTTTCCCACCGGTTAATCGACGTGTGACAACACCGGTAATACCGGTATCACCGCGGGGGCGTTTCCTCTTTTCCTCGCTTTCCTTCGCTTTTAAATAGCTTGTAAAAGCTGCGTGCGGCATTTTACTTTCAAATAGCGGCAATTCGGCGTAAAGCAATTGTTCGTTTGAATTTCCCCTCTTTTCCTTGCTTTCCTTCGCTTTTAAATAGCGTAAAAGCGCCGTGCGCATTTCGAATTAGCGGCAGTTCGGCGTCAATTGCTTGAATGCAACAACAAAATACAACGTCAAACTCACTTTAGCCTATATATAAAACATAGAACTTTTATTAACAAAACTAATAAAAATACACCATGCTATAGGTCAGGCTATGCCTAATATAAAATAACAATAAATGACAGTTTAAATAAAGTAAAAATCAGCAAGCAATGTGGAACCAATTAAATAAGAAACTAATGTTTAAAAAAAACTTCCAAAATCACCTTAGATAAACGGCAAAAGTCAACAAACTTTTCAAAATCCAAAATACTGCCAAACTGGAGCTTTTGCATCTCGTTTCGAAACTAAATCATCCGCCATCGTCTTGTCTGTCTCACCTCACTCTTCTCACTGGATAAATTAAATCTGATCGGTGATGCGACTGTCGTTCGGCACGCTGCATTGAGCAGCCGCGTTCAGTTTTTAATAGTGTCTGTTCTTTTACTGAACTAAATGATTTTTATTACTATGAAAATCAAAACGACGGTGGGGGTCGGTGCCGCGGTGGTCAAGTGACATAACCAGTATTGCGGCTTAACACCGGGCATACAAACGTAACGCCAGGTTCACACACTCCGTCTGTGGTGCGTATTTTTTTTCCGCGCCCATGTTAACGGATCAGAGCGTTCACACTGCACGCGATTGCGGTCCGGCAGTGCGCTCCAGGAGCGGTGCGTCTGCAGCAGTTATGCTGCGATCGTTTCCGCATGGAGTCTATATCAAAGAAATCGCGATAGGTTTTTTTTGTCCATATCACAGCCCTAGTATAAACTCACATTTTGTTCTATGTCTCAAAACAAGATTTCATATAATTTTGCATCAAGGAAATCTGGAGTACTTTGAGATAAGGACATTTGAATTTATGACTTTCTGCTCCGCCTTAAATTACAGAAAAGCAAATTAAAACTTTAGACCCACACAAACCCTGCAAATATTTCAGAAGCAAATCAAACACTATTCATCTTGCAAAATCGATTTCATGTAAATGTTTTTTTTCCCTCATTGAATGCATCACATTCTCCAAATAACATTTGTCAGCAGATATTTGTGCTGATGATGTATCTATACATGACTGTTAAAGGCTATGCAGTCTGCTAGTGTGAATGCAAATATTTTTCTCCTCATTGAATGCATCACATTCTCCAAATAACATTTGTGTCAGCAGATATTTGTGCTGATGATGTATCTATACATGACAGTTAAAGGCTATGCAGTCTGCTAGTGTGAAACTGACAAATCAAATCAAAAGCCATAAAGGTGCATGCATATAAAAAAGCAATTACCCCAATTTCTCCTTCTGAAAAATTCTTCGTCTTTTTCTTCTCTTTCTTAGCTGACCCAACTGAGGATAAATAAATCACCGTTACAGATCATTTTATCGTGAACATTAATTGAAGTGAAAGCACAGGCGAGTTTAACCGGTTAAAGTTAGCAGTAAGGTTAGCTGCGGAACCACGTGGCGCGTTCGGACAACACGTGGAGTTTGCTTCTACCGAAAGAGTTAAACACTGCATTATAAACGTTAGATTACATTAAACTACTGTTACTACAGATCACGTTCCGCAACGTTACAGTTACGAGTTGCAAAGTGAAACACGATCACTCACAATCAATAAGTGACTGTGATTTTAGGTTTTCAGAAATTGATCATTTAAAGCGGCCGCTAAATTCTGGCCCCTTAATGCAGTGTAATTTATTAAAGACCTTTAAAAGGCCAATGTATCAGGCGTCCACGCAAGCAATAAGACATTTAATTTCCATAATACTAGCTTAACTAAAGACAGGTTATTTTTTGATGAGGTAATATGCTTAGTTTTCCCACTACTAGTAGTAGTAATGACAGTAAAACACATTTCTTAACAAAAACGTTTAAGCATTAGTCTTGCATTTCTAAATGAACCGGGAATCTTTTAACACTAACGTTACCATTCGTACGGTTGAAGTTAAGAACTCGTGTTTTGATCGACGTACTTTGACACTTGTTAAGCGCATCATACGTGTGAATAAAAATGCAAAGCAAAATATTTTGAGTTGAATTTTAAGCACCATCGTAACAGAAATAACGCAAATGTGGAAAACATGATCTTACTTTCCGTGTCCGCCATCTTCACTGCTGCGCGCTTCAGAGGAGGCAGCACGTGTGACTGAACGCGCATGCGTACTTCTTAAGTTCGTGAAGTATCGCGATATTATATAACGTTAACTACGAGTAGTAGCCACACGAGGGCGCAAACAAACAGGCCCCTTCCTAGGGGACGAGAAAATCTCCCTCACCTTTTCAAGACAAAATGAAATCTAAATGAACCGGGAATCTTTTAACACTAACGTTACCATTCGTACGGTTGAAGTTAAGAACTCGTGTTTTGATCGACGTACTTTGACACTTGTTAAGCGCATCATACGTGTGAATAAAAATGCAAAGCAAAATATTTTGAGTTGAATTTTAAGCACCATCAGAAATAACGCAAATGTGGAAAACATGATCTTACTTTCCGTGTCCGCCATGTTCACTGCTGCGCGCTTCAGAGGAGGCAGCACGTGTGACTGAACGCGCATGCGTACTTCTTAAATTCGTGAAGTATCGCGATATTATATAACGTTAACTACGAGTAGTAGCCACACGAGGGCGCAAACAAACAGGCCCCTTCCTAGGGGACGAGAAAATCTCCCTCACCTTTTCAAGACAAAATGAAAACTATATTTTTCACTCCACGAATCTAAAAACATAAACGTGTCCACAAATCCCTCATAAACAAATACACACAAAAACGTTGATATTTAACACAACAATGTCACGGATCATTTCTCCAAATATTACTAACCTCAAAACGGGTTTGACTGACTAAATCTCACAAATGTTGATCTTCAGATGAAATGACAAAATTAATAAAATCATAGGCATTCATTAACTGTTGAAATGAGATGCAGAAGAGAAAGAACAGAACAAAACCAAATCTCTAAATAAAATAATAATGTGGATAATTACCATAAACTTTTATGATCGTCAAGGACTGGCTGGAGAATTTCGAATTTATTGAATCGATAACTTTTTAGATAATCTATAATTCTATATACATATAAATATATATATAAATAAATACATATCTTGCTTAAAACTACCTTTAAATGTTAAAATGTGAACTGCATTGACTTTTCCACTTCCTGCTGCACTTGCACTATGTGTGTACTTTATATTTATTGTGTGCATTTTATAGTATTAGCTACAGTATGTTCTTTGTCTAAACTAAAACGAATATAATCAAAAACTGATAAGACTATAGTCAAAGTAAAATAAATGCAAGGAAAAAGACAAAATGCACGGAAATGAATTTATTTATTTTCTAGAGGTAACATTGGTATTTTTGTGCGTACATACATTTGAGATCATTTTATATAGGATACAGAATGTTAAAATGCCACAGATGACAAAAAAAAGCTCCCAAACATGAATGCAATACAGTATATATATATTTAAGCTTTGTGAGATCTTTAACATTATATCAACCATGCGTACCCATATCACTGTTAAGGCACAAACCCAAAGAAATACCCTCCATTTACAACCATTTAAAGGAATAGTTCACACAGCATCGGTTTAATTCATGACCATTTTAATTGTTAACAATAAACTGACACAACTCATTTTCAACTTTAGGACAGTGCTCCTTCTTTCTGCCTACATCACGCGTGACCTTCCCAACGCACATATGTCACACAAGACTTCGTGAATTAAACGGAGCTGGACCAATGCCAGCATCTGTAGTTTAAAATATAGAAGAAGAAAAAAAATTCCCCTGAAATTGACTGATCATTTCACTGTAGAAAACCTGTTAGTCAGCTTGGGTCACGTGGATTACTTTGATATGGATTTAAAAATGGTCAACAGTGAGCACCATTCACTTGCATTAGATGGTGAAAAATCCTATAATGTTTTACTCTAAAACTTCAGCTGAAGAAAGAAAGACCGATACACCTTGAATGGCCTGGGGGTGAGTAAATAATCAGGACATTATCATTTTTGTGTGAACTATTCCTTTAACACATTTCTACGCTTCAATGGTCAAACTTCCTGACCATTTCTAAAAAATCTATCATTTAAATTCAACTCTACCATCTGTTTTTCTGTGGAAAGAAATCGTTATGGATCAAAAGATGCATCCTCTACAATAAACTCATTTCAATAAAATCATGAAATCATTCAAAAAAGAGCTGAGTTGATGAGTAATACTGAAGTAATACTGTTGGGATCCTGCTGTGTGCTGTATATCAAGCGTCCTCCGCTATCCTAATGCTTGAGAAATCAACTTGTTTTTGGTAAATGATGGTGTACCGCTGTCATTTGGGTAGTTTAGCATTAGGTATTCAGGCGTGGAGTCCCAGAGATCGGGCTGTGTTCAGCACATCATCACGCGTCAGATAACATCCACACAGCTGCCGCAGGCCGGTGAATGACTCTCTGCCATGCAGAACGCGCCAGTTATCGATGAACAGGACCTTGGAGAAAACAACGGCAGTATGTTAACATGCACTGATTTTTAGCAACATGGATAAATCCAATCTGATTCTGAAAGTTCTGTTTAGATGCACCTTAAATTAAGCAATATGATTCACATACTCGTTTACGTGTGCATTACATCGATTCTGAACAAAATTGTAGACACTGCATTCATTAATGGAGAAAGCCATTGTGAGAAAGTCACTTTGATGACATATCATAAAAACATTGAGGCTTTTTTTAGCAAATATGTATGTAATACTACAGGGCACTGTGCACGTGCAGACGCAGTTTTTTTAAATCTAATTGAGAAAGTACTGAGATTCAGAAGTACATATAGCAAAATATTACCCTAATTATTTACAATCTACACCACCCCGAAATTTTATTTGAATTTTTCAGTCCAACTGAGCCATCAAACCAAATATAAATTCTTAATAGGTTGCATGTCAATGTAGGTAGTCTGAATTAATACATGGCATTGATACTTCTTCCACATTAGATGAGATGAATCTTATGAAGAAATGTTTGAAAAAGTCACCCATTAATAAGAAATGTATGTCTATTAAGAAGTTTTGTTTGTTTTTGTTTTTTTTGCATTGTGAATTTTTATGACAATTGACACTGTGAAGCTTGACATATGAAATAATAGTTCAAATATATTAAATTGTTTTTTTTTTGACAAGATTTAAAGGGATAGTTCACCCAAAAATGAAAATTTGATGTTTATCTGCTTACCCCCAGGGCATCCAAGATGTAGGTGACTTTGTTTCTTCAGTAGAACACATATGATGATTTTTAACTCAAACCGTTGCAGTTTCAGTCTTATAATGGAAGTGAATGGGAATCACGGCTTTGAGAGTCAAAAAAACATACACAAACAAAACCAAATTAAACCCTCTGATTCACCGCAATGTCCGAACTGTCCTGAGCGCGTTCACAACATCCGGAGCATGACGCATCTTCTTCTTCTTCTTGCTTTACGGCGGATCGCAGACTTATAAGTGCATTACCGCCACCTAGCAAGAAGAAGACGCCTCACGCGCCGGCTGTTGTGAACGCGCTCAGGACAGTTCGGACATTGCGGTAAATCAGAGGTAAAAAACGATATAAATACTGTTCAGTTTCTTGCACAGACCGATCGTTTTGTGTCTTTACACATCAATGTATCGTCACGAGCCGCAGGGTTTAATTTGGTTTTGTTTGTGTATGTTTTTTTGACTCTCAAAGCCGTGATTCCCATTCACTTCCATTATATGACTGACAGACTGCAACGGTTTGAGTTAAAAATCTTTGTTTGTGTTCTACTGAAGAAACAAAGTCACCTACATCTTGGATGCCCTGTGGGTAAGCAGATAAACTTCAAATTTTAATTTTTGGGTGAACTAACCCTTTAAATTTTCAAAACTGTAATGCAAAGAACACATTACAATTCTACTTTAAGCATGTACTTTGCAATGTGTTTATCTCTCATAATATCAAATGCAAAACATTGGCTTTATTTTCTTTATGGCTAGTTATACCTTGTTTATGGCATGTTCTTGTCACACATTTATGTTTATGGCATGTTCAATTATCATTTTCGTGGAGATGTACTGCATACCTTCCCTGGTTTGAGTTTGACCCACAGCTCGTTGTCTGGTCTCCTGAGTTCAGCGGAGAGCTGCCTGTGAGCCGCGTACCAGCGCCGCACCACATCATGAGGGACTGTGTTAATAACAGAACGGTCATAGTTATTATACCTGCAAAACAAGAAAACACAACTCAAACAAAACTGCTGCAAAAACGACTTGGGTTATAAGGTGGAAAATGAATGACACAATGATAGCGTTTTAAGTATAGATGTTCCTGTGTTATCTGTACGTGACAGCACACGCAGGAAAAAGTCTCTTACCGAATCATGTAAACCTCGTTGTTCCACGGATAGACGTTGAGCACGGGGCCAATGCCGATCATGTGGTTGCGATGCTCACTCAGGTTCTCCACATACTCGTGTTTGATGGGCACGTGGGAAAGCAGCTCAAAGTTCGCGGGCGTTCGCTGGAGGACCGCGTCAGCGGCGTGGAAACCGTCCACCAGCAGAGTTCTGCCACCCGTTCCTTCGTGTCTCAGACAGTGAAACACCTGGATGCTTATGGAGCAAAACAAGGCATTAAAAGCAGCACTGAAGAATGTGGACCGTTTTAATCACCATTATACTGTACATGAAAGTTGTGTTACTCTTGATTTCCTTTTGGCTTTACCTCTGCTCAAACTGAAATCTGACACAATTTTGCTTTACATTTTTGCTTTACATCCAACATTAATACAAATGTTTTTGTTAAGCGTCTGCTAACCATTATGCAGATGACACTTTTCAGTTAGTTTTATATTTCTACTTCTTGATGCAATAACTAAATCATTGATATCAACAATAAATAATTGTGTGTTTTATAATTATAATAATACTTAAGTGCTACAAGTCTAATATTTCCTGTAACATTTCACTGAGTAGCTGTTTGCCTGTTACAATTCGAATAATTTATGGAAAACAAAACATTAAGATAAATGTTAAGTTAATAATAAATACTGTAGTGTTGGGTTTTCATCTTTAGACTAGTATTTACTTATAAATGAGTAGAAAAGTGTGGACATCAGTAAAAATATAAATAAATACATAAAAATCAGTCAAATCTCAACTTGTAATCTAAGGTTACTCCAGTGTTCATCAGATGTTTTAAGCTCTTATAACAGAATAGAGAGAATGTGAATTTGACTCCCTGCTGATTGACTAAGCAAACTTGATCTGACAGCATTTGGCCTTTCGTGGCTAATTGAAGCCCAACTTTGATTTTCCCGTTTACCCGCAGGGTTCTTGAAAGTATGACGTGTCGGTGTGGCGGTCCAGTGCCAGCTTCGTGTAGGCTGTATCTCCACGAGAAAAATCTGAAGTGAAGTTCCACATCCGCCCATACATAGTCTCCCTGGAAACAAAGAATTGCTTAACATAAGTCATCTTAATTAGGATAAACTATTATTGTGACTAGAGGTCGACCGATAGTGGATTTTACCGATACCGATAGCTAGGTTGGACCACACTGGCCGATACCGATTAATCAACCGATAGTTTTTAAAACGGTAAACGAAAACTAAAACAGCGCTTTACTATTTTAAAAAAAAGCAGTAGCAGTACTGAACCATATTTTGTAAATGAATAAACATATTAATATTAATTATTATATTGATCATTAAAGTTATTTCATAGTTTACTAACGTTAAAAAAAGAACCTTTAAAAATGTACAAATATGCCTCTAGAGGCCGCTCTCGTACTGTATAATGGCAGCGGACCTTTCTCAGCCACTCCAGCAACGGACGCAACCCGGAAAACTATCGGCATTGATTTTTGCCGATAACCGGTAGTTCCGCCAATCAACTATCGGTGCCGATTAATCAAAAATATTGAAACTCAAAATATTGACATGCATCGCAGTATGCATATCACATGGGCTTGAGATAACACAATGATTGAGATAATGATTTTAATACTTCAAAACGTTTATGGTGGTGCAGATAGCAGAGAATAAACTGGGCGTGTGTGTGTGTGTGTGCAAAAGACACTGAGAGGGAAGAATATGAAATGCTTATGTACACACCATGCATTTTTCACTAATATGTTTTAGTTCCTTTGATAAAGTCTATGCTTTATACAGAGAAATATCATAATATAGACTTCACTTTCCATTTGTGCTGTTTTTTGTCAAATACCAATCTTCGATCTTATCAATGCCAGTTTATTCATTCTTTAAGCAAACATTTGCCTGTATAGACTGTACGGTGAGCAACCAGCTTTAATCTTGTTTGGAGTATCTGTAGTATGTTGGTTATATAATTATCAATCAATTAAATGCATTTTAATGTTAATTCCACTTATGATTATCTTATCACATTCTAGGGCTGTCAAAAAAAATTTGAATTTCGAATATTCGTCGAATTTTTAAAAAAAATCCACATTCGTCTAATCCAAATTTTAGGTCTGCGTCAGCCGTCAGGCAGCTTATCAGTGGCGCACGAAATGCGACGACGATGTAAGTTATATTAATGTAATTAATGTAATAATAACTTTATGGCAGTTTTCCCCATCCCACTGTATCTCATGTTTTTCAAAGACAGTCGTGTTATTTTATTACGCTTTGAGGAAACGTGCATAATATTTTGCTCGATGCGCCCTCTTGTGGCCTCAGGAGAGAAGCCAAAAGCTTTTTTCCCCCTAACTGAAATTATGCCTTTTAAATTCGAATATAATTCGAATTTTGATATTTAAATGG